AATTCAAATTTTCAGAATACCTAATTCAAATTTCTTGTAAAGCTTACTTTTGCAGCGCAACTTCTGATTACCATGCATCGCCTGTCGACTACGGCGCTTCTGCAGACATCACAGATATAACCGTCCAGGACAACGAAGCTCTTCTGAGACCTTCCACAGCTATTGAACGTACGCGTTGTAAGCGACAAAATTCGTTTTCACTTTGAGTTTATTGAATCCTCTGTGGGTGTTTTTGTTGCGCAAAGTTCGTTAAATTCGTTACGAAGCATACTTTTTTTTTAAAAAAACTTAGGTCAGAGCTGAGGTAAAGCTAACTTGGGCTGCCTCTTTCCGCGTGGTTCTGACAGTGAGATTAAAACTTGAGTCAGAGCCTCCATTCTTCCATTCCAGACTTGCCTTGGAGCTGAAGAGCGCTGACATCACCTTATCTTCTGCAAATTCTTGTTAAAGCTATTTACGCCTTTAAGCACCACTGTAATTCTGAATGGCATCGAATGCACGAGCACTAAGGCGATTTATATAGCTGAGAATCTCCATACAATCTTTCAATCGTTCCAAACGAGTCAATGTGGCTTAAGGTGTCAGAATTGAAATTCCAAAGGTAGCAGGCACGCAGGCGGAAGTACCGTAATCATGCACTTGGAGCACAAATCCACCCTATGGCTGCTTTCATAGTCCGCCGGCCGGCCCGCGAGCGCACGCGCGTGTTGGCTGGGGGGCTACTCGGCCTGCGGTATGGATCAAGATTCAGTTGTAACCAAGTGCCAAGTGCCGCCCGCGGGTCGACCGGCGGATTATGAAAGCGGCTTATACTGCGTGTCCGTTCGGGAATAGAATTTGACATCTAGTGGAATATCCACATTAAAAACCGCAACTTGGTCGACCGTTCTATCCACAATAAAGTGTCCTAGTGCACGTGTCCAACGTTGTTCTTTTGAATCATGATAGTGAACAGAAAACAGCGCAAAGTATAAATCAAAATGCCAAAACATAAATAAGGCACAGGAAGTTTACGTAGTCTACGGGTCCTCTGATAACAGGTGGCCATTCTTTGCTAGTTGTCGCAGCGTGCGAATGTCTTGCCATTTGTTAGTTGTCTCGCGCACGATATATTTTTTGACTCTGACTGTTATCCTTGACTTAAGATCCCTTAACAACTGCTGGAAATCCACTTTGTCTAGTCAGAAATCCATGGAACATAGAAAACTATTCCATTACATGGTCCCCATGTTGTAGACGTCTCCCAGCTTTACGATGAAAATGGTATCCCCATAGAGCGACCGAGCCCACATCAGCCATCATCTCATAACGCCATCGAACCATGGCCAGGAAGTTCTGCATCTCGTGGAAGAATCAGTACAGAAGGTTAGTTCATTGATTCCAATACAAGACACTTAGAAATGGTTAGTGAACGGCTATACTGTAACACTGCCTTCCCTTGGTAGCAGAGTAACATTAAATTGTTCCGGTTTCAGGATTGACACCGTATTTGAAATTCATGAAACGCCACTGGGTTCTGAAACGTCTTAGGGTAAGTTATGTGAAGGTTTTCAGTCTTTCCTAACAATAGCTTTACAAGGTCTTTTCAGGGTTTACTTTTCTATTTCTTTAACTGGGGACCTTTGGGAGAATGTAAATTTCTGAAAAGTTTTCAGTATAAACGATGTTGTGAAGTTGTATTAATGTTCGGCTGAAAAGTTCAAAATCGTCAAATTTATTTACTTAGTAGCTTTCACTGCCCGCAGAACCTCTCCCATGATTGTTGGGGAAAATCAGTGCTCTGAAGGTGTGAACAGTAGAGAAGTGGGGGCAAGGAACAGTAACCATCAGTTTTGCCCGAAAACTTTTATCTTTCAGGGCAGCAGGGCTCCGACAAAAGATGGATACGTCTTTTTGCTTCACTCGATGGATTTAAAACCCCTAAAAACACAGAATTCCGTTGCGAAAGCATTTTTCGACTTTCATCTCCCAAGGTTGACGAGAACAGAAAGGAAGTCTGTCGCAGAAGACTCGTTCGTTCGCACTCGTTCTGTCCGGACATCGTGCACTTCAACCTTTTTGGAGCCAAGGCCAGACTTGCCACAGTCTCTCCTGACAGTTCTTTTAATCACCTAACCCCGGGGACAGCATTTATTGAGACTTTAGTGCAACTCTATTCGATTAGAATCCACAAAAAAAACGTTCTATTTGAACAGACAGCCTTATGCTAACAAAACAGTGCCGATCAGCATTGATTTGTTATTGTAGTGATTCGGGACTTACTCTGGAAATCCCCGAACTTTCCAGAATGCTCGACAATTTGCTGCAGCCGTTCCACGAACGAATTCTACCTGTAACTCACAGAAACTCTCAAAAGTGATGGCTAAAGTGAGCGGTTTGGACGAGGGGAGTTTGAGTGTTTTATGTGATCCAAAATGATAATTCTAGGTAATGATGGATGATGTGACAGCTTCTAAACGAGCAATCCTGAAATCAACCGAATTGGCCTTCGATGGAGACAAGTTAGATCGATTTTTTGATTGGGTAATAACTACCCAGTTGTTACTGCTTTTTAGGTATGATGTTTTCTGTGCCAATGGCGAGTTCAGCTACAGTATACATTCGCGAAAATACTGTGAAGTAACGAAAAACGCCATCACTTGCTTTGCTTTCCGATGATCTCACAGATTTAGTGAATTATTCGAATCCTTAAGCTATTTGACATCACCTCAACACCTCTCCTTATTATTAATAAATGATTTCAGAACCTCGTTATTCTTTTGTGCTCATTTCAATTGCTAGGCAGTAATTTTTCATTTCCAGCTTTAATAAATATTCGGACTTGTTGTTAAATTGTTTTAGTTAGAATATAGTTTTTTTCTGGTTCATAAAACCGTGGTAAGGTGCTGTCAAGCACGCACAGGGTCCGGAGATCGAATATCAGACCGAATTTAGCCCAGGCTGATCGAGCCTTTCGTCCAGGATCGATCCAGTTGTACCAGACTAATCTGGTACAACTGGATCGATCCCGGACGACGTCTACACTACCGATGCATTGGCTTGCCACCTTAAGCCATTGTTTGGCCCATGTTCGGGTTCGAAACGCTACTACGATTTTGAAAGGGAGTCGAGTGCAGGGCGCAGCTTATTCACGACATAATCTCATTTCTGATACAATGTAGATTTTAAATTTACTGCTAAAGCACTTCCCAAGTCAGATATATTACCGCAAGTCAGATATGTATATGGGCATCGAGCCATAGTCCTTATTCCAATCAGTGAACCACCAGACTATCCCGTATCTTCCCGTACTAGCAAGGGACCGCGAACCTTGCTATCTGGGTAAGCCCATACTGACGCCATTCCTGTTCTGGCAACTTTATGCTGTTTTCATTTCCTCGCCGAATTACAAAATAAGTACCCAACAGGGTGACTAGGGTGTGGTGCGATTCGTGCGATTCTGGATGCGCGCGGCGAGATTCGTTGCAACTTGGACCACTGCAGCGCTTATCATTGGGGCCCAAATTTGAAGTAAAGTAGGTTAGTAGGATTGTCCGACCCTACTAAAGTACTCTACTTCAAGTTTGTGCCCCAATAATAGGCGCAGGAGTCGTTTGAATCATCGCGAATTTCGCCGCACAATTTGCCGGGCGCACCCTGAATCGCACGAATTGCACGTCCCCTGGGTGAATATGGTAAGGTAGGAACTCGAAACCTTACGTTTTCCATTCTTACAGCGCCGATGGCGCCTATCTTCAACAAATCACTACTTTTGACGATCCGAAGACATGCTATTTCCTCAAAGGGTCTCCTGACTTATACAACAGAGAATAACCGTGACGCATCCCCTCCCATGTTGTTATTTGAGATTAGAGGGGTTATACAAACGTTTCGACTACGCTTTGACTCTATTGGAAGGGCTTCGATAGAGCTTAGAGCAAACAACGCTCACAGGTCGGCCCTCGACTCTGGTACCACTTAATCGACACTGAAGAATTGAGAGAGTCGGTTGACCTGAGCAAGTACCTATCTAGGATTCGATACTCGACCACGCGTATGTGAAAGGCCTTTAGTGCCACTATACCACACCAACTAAAGCAGGCACAATGGCAAGTAATCAAACCACGAGGAATGAAAAGCGCAGTTGGCTTAGGGGGTACAGACTATCGCCTGATACCCATAATCTATTCCCTCCTGAATTTTCGGATCTGTAGCGATCTAAAAAGGTAGTAGCCGGGATAATCAGGAATGGGTGACGGTTTTTCTCCCGAATTCCTAGAGCAGGCGGCAGTAGTTTGGCAGCGACTACCGTATCCTTCGTGTGGGAATTCAAATCGTTCCCTTGAGAGCGCGCTGTGTGGTATATTCTCCCCGATAATCGCGCGCGACTATGCCGCACGCGATTATCGAGGAAGATATACCACAACCCTCGAAAACCATTTACCTCCTCGTTTCTCAAGTCCTGTAATTCAAGAAACGAGTACGGTTCGTTTCTAAAGATAGCACAATCCAGTACATTATTGCACAATGGAACATTATTCTCGAAATTTCCACATCCCCATCGCAATGGGGTCCACCATGTCCCTGATTCGGGAAATTCTACGAAGGTAAGCCTAGCAGCACTCGATCCACTAACAAATAACCAACACTGAGGAATTTCCGACGTGATTTCGGTTGCTTAGCCGTAGCTGTTCAACAAAAAGTTGTGGTAGACGTGATCGCAGACAACACATCTTACTTGACGAAGTTTATTCTGGCAGCCGGCCACCCACAAGAGGTCACGTTCCTGACAAGTCGTGCTCCTTTTACCTAATTTACTCCAACTCAGATCATGGTAAACCACTTGTAATTATGCTATAAGTATAATTAGAGTGGGTTTTGGCGTTTTAGAAGTAAAAAGTGACGAGGGCGAAGTTGCGCGAATGATTGCGAAATCGCCGGTCTCACTTTAAAGCTTTTGTCATATGGGAATGATTTTTTGCATTCTAGTCGCCAAAATAGGACTTTATAGAACGCTTTTCTACATTGAACTGTTTCTAAAGGTTATGTACTCTAATCCTGTCTGCTTCACGTTGAATCTGCCCGTTTTGATCGATATTTCATGGTGAATTTAGGTAAAGATGTCGGCTGTGGGGGATGAAAGAAGCGATAAAAGGATGGAACTCGAACGGAAGAAGCAAAAGTTGGCTGAAATGAGAGAAGCTAGAAGACGAGCAGATGAAGAAAAGAAACGCCAACTTCTTGCCTCCGTCCCTGTTGAAAATGGTAACCTTTTTTTTCTCGAGGGCCATTTTTGCATGAGTCCTACAGGTTGCCCAGCCTGATTTTGATCCATCTGATTACATGTTCCTTCTTCCTTACCATATTTTCCTATCCTAGCCCTTATTTCAGATTTGGGTAAAAATAAATACCCTTGGGTTAATGTTTAACTAAACATCTCCCAATCCGTTTAGGTGTCGTTAAACAAAGTCTAACCTCTACTGAAGTACAAGAACTACTCGCTGAAGTTGGTATACCTACTGAACCGAGGCTAGAAAAAACTCCAGAAAGAACGAACGGTTTAAATGATAGCGTACGTTTCACTTTGTGTTGCATTGGTGCAAAGTGTTTAAGACTTCGGCTTCATAGATTAAATGTTCAGGACTATCATCTTTCCCCGATGGCTTCTCAGATTATGGCTGGATCCCGAAGTTTGCAACTTGAGTTTTCAAATGTTCATTCAGTAGCGATTCCGACCAAGGATGCTGTAAGCTTTTGAATAGCAAACTTTCACTTTTCTAATGCTTTCAGCTCAGCTTTGGTTAACCTTTACTCCTAGAACCTACAACTTATAACCCTCTTCTTTCAACTCTGCAATATCGATCCCTTAACGTTGTGTATTCTTGTACCCGATTCGGCGCAAGTCGTTTTTCATGGCTCCATTCATCGCACCACCTGGCAGGGTTAAACCCTGTGAAAAATAATGGCGTTTTTCAGTGCTCCCCCACTTCAACACGACCTTCTCAACTCAACTGCAAAGCGACCTCAGCCTCTTTTTTCCGAAACGTTATCCACTTGAAACCATTACGATGCCTTAGAGAGAGAGGGATGTACTATTTGCCTACTAGAGGCATCATATTTACAGACTTCCCTCTTCAGATTTTTTTGCCATTTATGGCGACCTCCCCGAACCGGTAATTTCCAATTCTACGCACGACAGCGTTGCTTTTTAACTACCGGCAAGGCAAGGATGTTTGGATTGGAAAATGAGTCGTTGAAGAGTCTATTTGCCTTTCATTTTTTGGCTGATTTATTAATTTTTCCGAAAACCTTTCCGTTTATTCGTTGGCTTTCGAGCATTTGCTCTGTCCTATTTATTCCAAGGCTTCGGTTGTTGCAGTGTAATCCCTAAATTGTCTTATTATTTGCTTTAGTAGGTTTCAATCCGATGTAACAAAGAATGATATTTTGATTTGTAAATGTTTTTCGTGAATATGACATTATTTGAACTCATTGAAAGCGATTTAGGCGCAATACTCGAAAACAACTCAAACAGATGATGACCGTGTATCTATGGGAGAATTCAGTACAGGTAGTCAAGAGTTCGACTATGACGATGATATGCTTCCGATGGACGGAGGTGGATTTAGGGGTAGCTTTTCTCATTCTGTGTGTAATGCTAGATCTGCAACTTTTCACTCATACCACTTTGCTACAAAACTTTATTCAGATCGGGTACATTCTCATGATGTCGATTCGCCAATGACTGACGATTTGGCCGGTATACTGCCAAATATTCCAGGGTTTAATTTTGCCAAACATAAAGAAGAGGTGTGTTTTCTACGAGTACGAATCTGACAAGTTAATTCACACCTTCATGTTTTCTTTACCTCGCCTTCCTTATTGTGATCAATTGAACAGATACCATGAACTGGCAGAGTGACCAATTTTACTTTTAGCCGGAAACAGTTAAAGAGGAGCCAACTCCTGTTCGCATCCCAGACCTCAGTGAAGAAGAGAAAAATCAAATCGTAGCCAGCCAAGGATTTCAGGTAATTCTGCATTAGCACTCCTGCTGCCTATCCTCTGGGAGTTTTGATATTTCTTTACTTCGAAAAGGTTTTTCTCTGTCTTACTGGCATTCGCATTCGCGAAATGAATCATTGATGTAATCTCCGGCATATTTCACAAATTAAGAAAAGAACCTGCCGCAATGGCGGCGAGCTCATGTTTATTTGAGATACTGTCCTCATAATCGATTGTAAATATTTTTAGACTTTCTTCAACTATGCGGCCAAAGTTATAGAGCGTGCCCTCGCTGAAGCTGAAAATGTGAGTGACGACGTCTCTTTCAAGACGGATTGGCGTTTTTTGATGTCCCCTATTTTTAGGTTGATATTTTCATTGATTATGCGCGAGATGGTCATGGCGAAGTAATTGCGTCCAGTGACCGACTTGTACTCTCAAGAGTATTTTCTGACCCAAAATGGTCTCAAAACAGGTAAGGGCTAAAATTGCATCAAATATGTTCGGACTTATATCGATCGTGAAAAACATTTCATACACGTGATATTCTTGGTAGCTCTTTCCGGAGTGTGCATTTTATTTTCAAAAATAATTTTGCGAAATTTTCTCCCTTATGGCTTATCCTACTGTTACCGCAGCTTCTAGGAAAATGTACACCACACCCATCGCTTTGCTTTTTCGACTTTAACTGCGTTTGGTTTTACTTAATTTCTTGTTTATCGCATTTGATTGAGAGATGGCATATAAATCTGTAGGAGCCACAAAATCCCCTGCTTTTGTTCAGTGTGAGTGACCACTTTTGTCACTAGCCTGTCAAAATCGTCAATATAAAGGGGTTTCGAGAGAGATAAGAGGGTGAGACTGACATTCTGGCCAAACGAGACAGTTGTTTACATCAAACTGTCTCGTTGGGCCTTCATGTGGATGTTTTTATAGTTGTTCATTAAAGTGCTGCCATGAAAGATTGTCATCTTGCGACGGGTAGTTTCGTTTTCCTTGTGATTGTTGCGAGATTCAATTTAAATATGGTGGATCTGCTTTCAGGGCTTTATTTAACGGGAGGAGGCCAGCATTTTGATGACTGATGATCGCCTGAACACTTCAGAGCACGCTTTTTTCTCTTTGTTAAGCTTTAACACCAGTAATCAATCACTTATCTCAAGCTGCGATTGCAGTTCTTGTTTGAGTGTTTGTTTCCGGAAACATTATAATAACATATCGATTCCAGAGCTGTGACGGGGATCGCTTTCTCAGAGCAACATCCCGAATTGGTCGCAGTGTCATACGACTTCGTGAGTGTTCATACATTTTTCAATTTCATTTCGGTTTTTCTTTCTGGCTCCCTGGTAGACCAATACATAAGGTTCTAACCTGTCTCGAATATAACTGAAAATAACGCTTTCTTTGTCTATTGCCCGGAGTTTCAGAACAAGGACATTCCTTCTGAACCTCCTGGTGTTGTGCTGATATGGAATACAAAGTTCAAAAAAGATTCTCCAGAGTGGGTGCTTTGGGTTTTTGGGAAGAATTTTCTGATTTCTTCTCTCTTCATAGACAAATCCCATAAGATTAGGTAAAATTTTTTGCAGATATGTTTTCCATTGCCAATCGCGATTAGCGTCCGTTGCATTGGCACGTTTTCATGCACATCTCATCATGGCTGGCTGTTATTCTGGCCAGATCTGCATGTGGGATAATCGAGTTGCTAACAAGAAAACTCCTATTCATAAGGTAAATACTTTTTGCTTCCTTTTCAAGTATACTTCTATACGGTCCAACTTTGTGGCGGATTGGATCTTTTGTGTTTCAGAGTCCTCTTTCGACCTCTGCACATACACATCCGGTGTACGCCTTGGAGGTCATTGGCACCCACAACGCACATAATTTGGTAAAGATTTCATTTTTTCCTCTAAAAACTAAATTGAATATGATTTGATTGCTGTAAAGGTATCCATAAGTACGGACGGAAAGATGTGCAGCTGGAACGTTGATAACCTGACCCAGCCTGTTGATGGTAAAGAGTTGCTATCAAGACAAGGAAAGCAGGTGAGCAGTTAACGAATTTTCAAAAGTCTACCTTTCTTACCTATGAAGCATTTTAAGTTTGGAAAGGTTCCGGAAATTTCTTTTTATTCACTTCTCATTGCATTTCATACCCCTCCAGGTTGTGTTCTATTCTGATTCAAAACATTGAACTGAGGATGCGTCAGATTACTTAGAGACCTTTTAATAACTTTTTTTGATGATAGTTCTTCCTCGCCTTGATGGCTCCTTATGCCCAGTCCTCCTTTGCGTTGTCACAATTGCTTGCAGTTTAGTTTACATTTTCCTTTGTAGTTAAGGCGATGTTTTTACCCCAGTCCAATGGCAGATTTTTACCTGAAAGTTGAATTTTCTCGTCTTGCATTTATTTTGTATGTGATTGAGGCGGCAACCTTTCTGCTCCTGTTTGTTCCACTTCTTTGATGGCATATTGACTGGAAAGTTGGTAACTCTAACCTGTAAATCTTTGATTCACTTTTTCTGATTCTAGTCTTTGACAATGTTGGACGTTCACGTCGTGGAAAGGTCGTTTGTAATTTTTTGATCTTCGATGAGATTGTGGAAGTCAGGTTCCACTCTGAAATCGTTTGCACTGTGCTATTCCACTTTGTTGCAGTCTTTTCTTACCACGCTTTAAGGGACCGATTATAGAGATAGCGGATGCCGAAATTGACCAAAACGCTTGTGTTGGACTCTTTTACTTGAAGGTAGAGGGAAAATATTGCGCACCTACCGTATTTTATTCGAAAGTTATTGAGTCCTTCACTTGGATACATATGTTGAAAATCAATTCTGATGTGTGATACAGCCGTGTAGAAAACCCTACTTAAGTGGTAATTTGAAACTTTGTTTACTTTAGCCAACTCGACATTAAGCATAAGCCTCTGGTTACCTACATTAATCTTCAAGCTTCCTTTTCTTCGTTACTGGACCTCTTTTAATTCCTTTGAACCAATCATTTGAAGCTGCATTGTAGAGCCGGGAAAGTTCGGCCTCTGTTTGTCTTTAAAACGGCGTTTTGTGAAAGTGTCAGGCTCGATAAATGCTACACGATCTAGTGAAGTGAATGAACAGATAGATAGCAGCGGGACACGGGAATATGCACGGTGTTATATTATTTGAATGAAACTCCATTGAAATTAGTAATTTCAGATTCCATGCCTCTGCATGTCATTTCCAGTCGCGGATATGAATAATTTCGTAGTGGGAAGCGAGGATGGTCACGCGTATGCCCTTAGTCGTCACGGGACAGGACCAAATACACAGGAACACACATTCTTCGATGGTATATGTTGTTTTATGAAAAAAACTTCATGATTAATATTCGACATCAGTTATGTTAGGCCCGAGTAATCAGAACAGCCTAACAGTGAAGCTACAACTCGGGTTGGTCGGCAATCGGCAGTGTTCCAATGCATGTTTGGGTGATTTCAATTAGCGAATGGATTTGAAGAGGGCATGCGTGTTATCTTGAAGTTTCTCGGCAGAAACTGCTGATTTGGGATAATTCGAAAGAAATGAAAGTGAAGGGTTTATGGAGGACTGGTGGCTCCTTGATGTTGGTGCAGAGCTCTCCCTAGTTTCCAGTAGAACACAGCTTTCCTTTTATTTCAAAGCTAGTCGCTCCTTTCAGGTCATGGCGCTCCTGTGTGCGGTATAGCCTTCCATCGAGCTACGGGTCCAGTAGATCTTTCACACCTTTTCCTTACATCGAGCTCTGACTGGACGGTAAAATTATGGAGTACAAAGGTACGTACTGCGCTCTCAACTGGCTGCTCTCTTTCTTTTGGTTTGGCTTTTTTTTTGGTTATTTAGGTGAGTATCGTTCCATTACCTTAAAACATTATAGGATCCAAAATTGCGGTTCTCTTTCGAATCACACAACGATTATGTTTTCGATGTCGCCTGGTCACCAGTGCATCCTGCCGTGTTTACTTCAATCGATGCTGAAGGCAATGTGTGTCTTTGCTTGTTTTTTCAAATGTGAATTCTCCTAATGGAGTGCTAGTGTCAGTTCCTATTCTTTTCATTTGTTCAGCTATTCCTTTGGAATCTCAATGAGGACATAGAAGGTCCAGTTGCACGAATGAACATCGCGCAAGAGGGATTCTTGAAGAAAATCGCATGGGCTGAGAATGGTTTATCAAAATTTTTTTGTTTGCTAGAGATGTGTGTACATGAATTTGCTTTAGGGCAACATTTGTGCGTAGGAGACGATCAGGGTAATTTGCAGCTATTTGATGTACATGAAAGCATGTATGTGCTGAGGAGCGAAGAATGGACGCGATTTGCTCGGTAGGTCAATTCTGGATGCTTGGGGAGGTATTAATTCAACATTTCATTAGGTTTTTTTTCCACGGTATCTTTAACAATGACGTTAATTGCGCAATCCTACCTGGATACTTGGCAGATGGCGCAGCTCGGTGTGTTTATACTTTTTCCTTGTTCATTCTTTAGCTTTTAGGGTTCTGGCCGATATGAAGCAAGCAAATGAGGAAGCTGACGAAATGTCTGAAGTGATGTCTCGTCTTTCCGATGGCATAGGAGGAATAGGTGGTGGAAGTACAGTAGCCAGTTTGGCTGGTGTAAACGTCTCTCCTCGGCAGAACTGGTAGTCAGGTAACCTAACCTTGTTTCCTAAATCCTAGTTTTTTTATTCTCCTCATTGAGTGAACATGATATATCTTTTTTGAAAGAGCCATTTGAGGGTTAATCCATGTGGGAGATATGAGTAGATGGGTTTTAGCGATCCTCCACAAATGGAGGTTTGGGAAAAAAGAGCTTCAGAGATCGTAGTGTTTCTAAACTGAGTAGATGGTGCGGTTCGAGTGGGGAGAATCATTGAAAGCTTGTCCTTTATCTTTTGTTATTTCTTGTTTCCTTGTTGTCCTTGTGCTCCTTTTCAGTCTTTTTGATTTTAGGCGTTCGAAACTTCATGGCTCATCTTCACCTTTTGTAGAACAATTCTATAAAGAGCATTCTTTCTCACTGTAATAATTTTCACTCACATTTTATTGGTAACTTATTCGTTCTGGCATATTGAAAGCGTTCATCTCTCTGTTCTACAGCGCTTAATTAAAACGTGTCTTATAGATTCCTTCTAACATAATCATAGGCAACTTGGTAACAGGTACGTTCGTCATGGTTGGTGGGGTTTGGGGATGATACACCTTTTTCTCATAACAGCTTTTCCCCTATTTAATTTACCGTCTTCCTATTCGTTAACTTCTCGCAAACACCGCTTTCTTACATTGATGGAGAGTGAATCAGTTCATTTAGTCATGTGTGATACTGTAAATGAAGTTCCCTAAGATAACGATAACTCGTTTGTCACAATATTCACGGTGGAGCTCATCAATAGCTGAATGCGAATTCCTCCGCCATAGTCGAAACAAGGGTTCGGCACGTTCATAAAACCGGTCCTTGCCATGAACTTTTGTTTATGTTTTGTTCGAATGACAACCTTTCATCTATGAGTGCTGATTTCTTCCATTATTCTATTCAATTTTTATGCCAGCTAATAAAATCTATCCGCGTGTTCTATGAGCCTTAGCTTCTGTGTTAGCTTCTTAATATTATTTGCATAGTAAACTATTTTGTGCAATTTTTTTTCTTTTTGTAGTTGAACTTTCACTATGACGGTCACTATTAACCCCTCAACCTGTACGTTTCATAGTTACTAAGAATTCATAGTTGTTTTTGTTGTATCTTGGCATATAAATACATTTATCGCCACTTATTTCTGCTTCATTTGGGAACATCGCTCGTTACTACACAGTAATCGATCAGTCAGACGTCTGGCTTGGGCCATATTGATTCTCCCTTTTATCGACTTACTTATTGGTTGTACGGTACCATTATCATTTGTAGCATCTATGGGGTTTTATATCGTTTTTTTTATTTGATTGATACTTCACAGCAAATCGAATTTGGACCACTTTTTGTAAGAACGCAAGTTTCAGGGGAAAAAGTTCAGGGCCGAAATTAGGGTTTTTCAGGTTTTTTGTGTATTTGATCGAACAACAAGAAATGATTTCTATTTATCGCTCGATTCGCCACAAAACAGTTGCGGTAGCCGCTCAACACGACAGATGGTCGCGCTGTGGGGTGTCTTCCGCGGACTTTCGCCCATTGCTCTTTTCTTACTCGGGGCTCTGCATTCTTGTGCCATAGTTAGCAGTGCTAGTGGACCGCGTCGACGTGAAGTAGTGTAGCACTAGGCGGAATACGCTTCAGCAAGGGGAACTGGCAGTTCCAGCGATATTTTACAGGCCAAGTAAAGTGCAGCTGTTGGTTTATGCAACTGAGCTAGAAATAAATCGAAACTGTCCTTGCCGCAATAAGTTACAAGTCTTCCGGTTCCAGATCACCTTTGAAAGTTCTCAATCAAAGTTTAGAGTGTCCAGGAAGTTTGAGAAAGTTCAGACACATGTTTTAAATGAGGGTTCTGGCGGATGTAGATTGAAGTCGCGGGACCGCAATTAAATATTTGTCGCGTGTATGCGCGCGACCGTGGGAACTCGGGCACGAATGCCGTCAAACAAAGCCATCTACAAACTAGGACGTGCATTTTGGCATCTAGATTTAGTGAAGAGGAGGATATAGTGAGGGACACATGAGGGGAAGGTCTAATTTTGTTCAACTGAAGTAATTTTCTGTTACGGCTCAGAACAGGCTGAAGTGGCGGTAGTCGCGAGTTGAGCCCTTCCTTCATTATTCGATTTATTTCTTATTGGTTATAGAGCAAACCAGAGGATTAGCAGCACCACTGAGAGAACGTAAATTTCTCCCAACGGATTGAGACATCCTAAAAAAAGGGGCAGCGGTTGTTGTAGCAAATGGCATAATGCGCGACGAGACAACTAACCAGTACAGCCAGTTGAGGCGTGGCACGCTCAGGGCAACTAGTTCGGGGGGATGGCAAAATTTGTGTCCGATTTCCCACGGTGGCGCAGGCATACAAGTAGAGGTGGTTCCACGGCAAATACCGTAATCAACCACTTGAATTTCAAGAATTCAGATCGTACCCCCGCAATGCATTCCCTAATGCTTTATGAGCGCTGCACGTCGTTCGGGTGTTAGGGCCCACGCCCAGTCCATGGTCGTTTGCGTAGCCATGGGTTCAAGTGTAAAGTTATGATACTTTGCATCGATATCGATGCATTTGCAAGTATATTTATTCAGCATATGGTGTACTTTGAGCAAAGAGGTGCCGGAATGAGTATAAACTTCAATCTTTTTTCACTTCTTCGGCGAAGATATCGTCATAAACATTGAATTTCAGGGAGTTTGATACCCTGTGAGACATACGACAAGGGGATATTTTCATCGTAATTTCCAAAGCATTTTCCATATTTGGATGTGTACTTTGTAGTTTTCTAGTGATCCTTCCGGGGTGTTATTGTCAGTTATTGTTATGATGAATAGTGTTGTCGACCATACAGGTGGCTGTTCTGTTTATGAAGGGACACCGCAACCGGTCGGGCAAAGTATGCGGTCGATGCACACAGAATCTGGAAGTTTAGATTGCGGGACGTTCATATGGAGGAGTTATCCATTCGTCCGGGATCGGCTAATCGTTATAAAACTTGTCCGGGAGGATAAAAGTTCTGACTTGTACATTGGTTGGCCAGCGGAAATGATTGTGTAGGCATTCAATACGCCACTGCGATCTGAATGGGAGTCGGACGCGGGGCGCATTCCTCGGACGGGATTGATTAACGTCAAAAACTTCGAAGACTTTATTATTTCTCCAAATTCAACAGTAAAGATGTAAAAGAATTAGGCGTGGCGGTGGTCCTGAACCATATCTGGGCTCAAAAAAAGTTGCACAAAGCAGTTGCTTTCACCAGTTTTTGGTAATTTCAAATAAGGCCCATCTTCTTGATTAACACCAATAGGGTTCCCAGATTGGGCGCTATAACAAGAACCTGAAAAGAACTTTTATTTTTAAATGGACATAATCATTAGATTGAATAAAAAGGGTACCTTATGTCCGAAATGCTGATCAATGGCAAATGCTTGTAAGAAATACATCATTGTTGAGCTATACCGTGCTCGATCAACCATATTTTGAGTTATTTTCCAGATCTACAAGGTCACTTACATAAGTAAGGCAATAGTGGAGTAAGGTATCCCTTAAGAATCCCAGGATAAGCCATGCATTCGTCTCCTGTTCAACGTGGTCAAAGCATTTGACTGCGTATTATTACAGTGCATACGGAGTCCAATACGATTCTACTGCTAGTAGTGGCTAACTACCACTTCATCGCTAGAAATTGGTCATCCTAGGAAAACCTGGGAGAATTTGGCAATCCCCAAAAAATAGGCAGAGTTGGGGGCTACGTTTGCTTGCTTGGATTTGGATTCGTGCGGTTGGTAAAGGTCATACCGTAGCCTCTGGCTGAAGAACTTTGTTTTCATGAAAGTAGCTCTGCCTGGATGAAGTTTAGGCCTTTGAATGGCTGGGCTGCCAGTGCTATTGGAATCGTCATGCTTTAGTTGTCTTGAGTGTAGGCCGATATACCCTACCTGATCATCAGCTGAATGGTGGCAGAAATCGTCGGCAAGCAGTACTTGAACAGTTCTGTCGATCTGAAGTCCTATCTATTTGATTCCGAACTGACGGCTTTCGATCAGTTGTTATCAATTGAATTCAACCACCGAAAGAAAGGACGGTTAAGCAGTTTTCGAACCTGTAATTGGGTTTGAGCTGGTTGTTGTAGGGTGGTCAAGATTAGGACTATGCCGGTGTTCATCCATAGACAGCTGATCACCCTCATCAGTATAGACACTTCATCGCCTACTCTGGAAACAGACGCTTCATCATTTACAACCCTTTTCAGTATTCCTCTCCGGGCCCATAGAAGGTAAGGATATGCAGTAGCTTTTACTTTTGAACCGTTTGGATCAAGTCACTCTGACCAGGAGGTGGTCCGGGTGGATAAACTTTTCAAGGGGTTTGTCTTCTGGGTCTAAGATTTACTAGTTCATCTACTGCATGAATTCCATAGCGTCACTGCTTATTCTGCCACTCGTGAAATCAGAGAGAAGGCTGACAAAATAGGATCGGACGTATTATTTATTTGGTTATTTATTTGTGCGTTCGGTGGACCTACCAAACAAACCCGTGTGCCACTGGAATCCTACAGTGCAAGGCACACAAACTGGGCCGACGATATGGCATCCTAACGGACTCAGGCGGCCGAAACTCGAACTTATGGAGGTAAAAGACTGAATCTTGAGGGACAAGAAATACGTTACAGTATTCCATCAACCTAGTACGGTTGTTATAATTACAACAGTTTCCTGAGTGGGGCAAAATAACTAACCCAGTCATCCAGTAAAGACCTACAGCAGAAGTGAGAGCGGCAAGTGCGGCAGACATTGAGACGAACGTCGCTGAAATAACGTTTGCTAACTTGTTGTCATATTTGGCATTGTTTACAAACAAAAACGGTTCCTTTGTGCGTAATAGAAAATGGAAATTCTCCACAAATGGAAATCATCTGACTTACTCATGTGTTGATTAACGAATTTCACCAAACGTATGAGTTCTGACTGTCGCGACAAGTAGTTCTCGAAAATTGCAGGTATCTGGAAAGGAAGAGGCCGGAATAAGCTCGAAATTGTAAGGAATGAAATACTATTTCAATGTACTAGAGAGTGTCGACCATAGAATTTGAGGAAGGGCCTGCCCGTCTTCTGGATCCCCTAGACTCTTTCCGGATTATGGTACTCACCTCATACCCATCCATCCTCGGGAATGTTCGGGTTAAGGAGGTAGGAAAACCTGTACAGAACCTTGTAAAAGAGCATAAACGTATTTTTCTCAAAAAGTCCGCGAAAAGTCCCCCTTCCGCCTCAACATTCCTTCTCACTCCTTTCCCAGAAAAGCGAAAGAAGTTCCCTGCAGCTCCACAGAAAGAACGTATACCACCCGTTTCTGATGCGCATGAGTTCGTGGCCCACTGATCACGAGGTTTGAGATCGTGTTAACGAGTCGAATTAGCGACATAATCCAAATAACCCTGGGTACTCAAATAACTTTGACTTATCGACCTACTCTAAGTTGCTGAAGCCGAGCCGATTCGACCAGATCGTCATTGAAGGAGGTCCACTCACGATTGATATTTGTAAATATCAATGTGTACACGATCAACGCCAAGGAACTGTATATGCCAAAAGCCAGATAAATAAGTGGAGCTGCGCCATACATTGTTGATAAGTTGACTGGATACCTGGAAAATTCGTAGTATTGGCATCCGACCCAGCATACTACCCACTTTCTTGAACACTCTACCTGAAAATAGATGGGTCGATTAGAGGGTTAGGGTTTTCTTGAATCCTTCGTTTTTTTTTGCCGCAGTAAGCGATGCGGAAGCCTCTCAAGGATGGTGAGATGTGGGCAAAAAGCTTGATCTCAGACAGGTCTCAAGCCCGTGCCTGCACTTTTTAGCACCCTGCAGGCCATAGACGTGAAGCACAAGTGCTGGTTCGAATCCCGCCTAAGGCCAAGTGTTTCGCTGACAACTCGTCATGTTGTGGGCGGAGTTTGTTCCTCTCTGAGTAGGAGATTACTACGAAGAAATAAAATGGCAGGGCACTGAAAGAGGGATTCAATATGCCTGTCTGGTTTTGTTTTTGTTATTTTTGTTTGCATATTTGTTCGTTTTGCTTGTTTTTGTTTTTTACCGTAACAGCTCTGATTACTGTGGTCAACTGTATAAGCGACGATAACCAACCCAATTGTGAATGGCGCTGATCCGGTAGACTGAACTCCTTCATAAAGTATGCCTTTCATCGCTGACAAAAACCACGTAGTGATAAGGACCAACGCACCGACGGCCATCCGGCCATAGACGCCCAACATCTTCCTGTTGCCGTCTGATGGGCCCTCAAGAGATTTTGAATTTGTCGTGCTCTCCATGAGCAAAAAGTAGACCCTGTTAGGCTCACCAGTTGAGCCCGAACACCTGCTAAGGATTCCTCGAGCCTTCCGAGAAATCCGGATCTGGTCCATGACACTATGCAGAGTGCTGAACCAAAGCCATGCATAGCCATAAAGCACATAACACAGCCGACAGCCCATTCTAGCGTCATTGGCTAAAATCTGAGATTATGATGGAACAGTAATTTATTTAAAAGGATTTTTGGAGTTATAAAGATCTCTATAACTGACCTTTGAGTCTTCCATAGCTAGAATTATGCATACGAGTAGCATAGTAAGACATATTGCTGCACAGACAACAATTCGGATGATGCTTTGCGTCCAACCGTCTTTTCGACCGCTGCAATGACTCAGATCCAGAGCACAGCACCTCAAAACAACCTGAAAAT